CCTCTCTGCCTCACAGTGTGAGAGGCATCAGCTGGTGCTGCTCCTTCTCTGGGTTCCTGACCCACTGGTCTTTCCTTGCTGCTCCATCCCATTTTCCATTCATTTCAGAAATTTGCATTTTCCTATGCCCTTTGTATCGTGGCAGAGGTTTCTTAAGTAAAAAGCTTTAAAATTCAACACATAATTCTACAGGCTAAACTTTAAATGCTTCACTCATATTGGTAACTCAAGTGACCTCCAAAAATCTCTTATTTCAACTTCATCTGACTGCCAGCAGAGATTGGGGTGCTTGACCAGGGCCCTGAGTTGTCAGTCCATTCCTGCTATCAGGTGTTGCCTCTCAGGTGTTTGTTACCTGTTACAAGGCTCTGTGTGTCCCTGCACAGGTCACAGCCCCTCCTGCTCCCACGTTCTTCTGTTCCTGGTGGGATTGAACCTTTGTGGCTGTGCATGAGCTCTGCATTCCTGCTACATTCATGCACATTCCCCTATTTCTGCAGATTGTTGGGACCGGGAAGAATTCCCCATTTTGCTGCTCCCTGCTGCCTCCCAGCCCTGTCCCTGCCACTCCTGACTGTGCCCTCCTTTCAGGCACCCCTTCCTGGGCCGGGAGGTGCCCATCTCCAATGGTTCAGGCTTCGTGGTGTCCCCGGACGGGCTGATTGTCACCAATGCCCACGTGGTGGCCAACCGGCGGCGCGTGCGGGTGAAGCTGGCCAGCGGTGACATGTACGACGCTGTGGTGCAGGACGTGGACCAGGTGGCCGACATTGCCACCATCAAGATCAAGCCCAAGGTGTGTGTGGTGTCCTGGTGGCCATGGGGACACTGGGAAGAGGGGATGTTCCATCTGTCCTGCTTTATTGGTAATATCAGTATTGTGTCTCAGAATTTGTGTTGGTCAGAGTGACTCTGAGATATGTACAAGCTTCTCTTCCCAGCCTGGTAGTTGAAGACAGAGTCAGAATTCTTCTGTTTTCATTCTCAAGGTTGTTTATTATTTCTGATCTATAACATTCTTTCTCTGACCTGCTGAGGTCTGTCTGGCAGGTGGGCTTGAGGCACACTGGTGTTATCTTTTTATACTAAAAACGACGTGTACATTATTTACCATAACTTCTCAATACCTATCACCTATGTTAGACAGTGAGCTTCTATCTTAAACCAATCCAAAAGTGCCACCATCTCAGCAGAAGATGGAGGCCAAGTAAAAGAAGGAGAAAGGCTGGACATGCCCAGATTCCTCCATCTTGCCTCCTGATCCCCCATTCTAAAAACCCCAAAAATCCATTTTTCACCCCGTGACAAACTGTTATTCTACTTAGACTTTCTTGATTTCTAATTCTTCATATAAAGGTTGGTAATTTACTCCTTGGGTCAAAATCAAAGGCACAGGGGTCTTGGGCTCTGTGCCAAGGTCTCTGAGCCCCATGGGCAGAGCCTGGAGCCCTCCAGGGATTCAGAGGAATTTTCTGGGTTCCAACAGGGATGTGCCTTGGCTTGTCTGGCCGCTGCTGCTGAACCAAACAGCGGCACTGTGGTGTTTCACCCCAGAGACACTTTTGGCCTGCTGGATGTGTGGTGTTTCACCCCAGAGACACTTTTGGCTGGCTGGATGTTGCAGCTGAGCACATGGATACAAGTCCAGACATGCCAGGGCTCTGGTGGTGGCGGGATGGAGCTTCCTCTCATAGAGGATCTGCTCCTCAGGTTTCTCTCTGGCAGAGAAGCTTTAAGGCGATGGTGAAGGAAAGGAGTTGGTTCTGATGGAGGGTTTGGATCCAGAGCTTTATTGTGGCCCACAGGCCTCTGAATCCAGCAACTCCTCCAACAGAACTCCTGGAGTGTGTGGTTGCCCTTTTATCCGAGGAAGGGGAGGAGGGAAGGGGTAGGGAGCCCATCATGCAGGTGCAGGAGAGGAGTTTTAAGGGACAAAGGACACCTGGATGGCCCAATGCCCCCCAGGTGTAGAGGGCATCTTTTGAATCTGCCAATCACTCAATGCCCTTCTAGAATTTCAGGACTGACAGACAGTGCTGGGCAGAGGTCAGGGTGGGGAAAGGAGGGATGATTGACACACCTGGCAGGGAATCTTGAGGGGAGACACCCGGGGTTCTGGGGTAAACCATGAAATCACACAATACCACTCTGTGCCACTGACCATGTCCCTGCCCACAGCACCCGCTGCCCACGCTGCCCCTGGGCCGCTCGGCCGAGGTGAGGCAGGGCGAGTTCGTGGTGGCCATGGGCAGCCCCTTTGCCCTGCAGAACACCATCACCTCGGGCATCGTCAGCTCGGCGCAGCGCGGCAGCCGCGAGCTGGGCCTGGCCGCCTCCGACATGGAGTACATCCAGACCGACGCTGCCATCGACGTAAGGGACATGGGGACATCGTGGGGAGTGGGAGGGGCTCACAGGGAGCATGGGGATCTGGCTGGTCACCCTGGGATCGGCCTCAGGATGGGGCTTTCGTGGTCTGCTCACACTCTCTCTCTCCTCTGCTGCAGTTTGGGAACTCTGGGGGCCCCCTCGTCAACCTGGTGAGTGCTGCTGCTTGTCACCTTGCTGGCTGGGGCAGGGATGTGCTGAGTGAACCTTGCTCTGTGCCTCTCTGTGGGTGCTGGGAGGCTTCCTGGAGGGAGGAGGGAGAGCATGAGAACCTTGTGCAGTGTCTGAGGCAGCTGGAGCTGGTGGGGCTTTGGTGGAGATCCCGTAGATCCTGTAGCCTCAGCCCCTGGGTTGTGCTCAGCCTGGGCAGGGGTGGGCACAGAGAGAGGACCCCAGGCTGGTGCAATAGTTCCCCTGCTCCCCACAGTGATCCAGGCTGGGTCACTGCTGGGATCCCAAAGCCCTTTCCCCGCAGGATGGCGAGGTGATTGGTGTGAACACCATGAAGGTGACGTCGGGCATCTCCTTTGCCATCCCCTCGGACCGGCTGCGGAAGTTCCTGCAGAAGGAGGAGCAGCGCAAGAGTGAGTGGGGCCCTTCCTGCTCAGGCTCTGGGGGAGGAGGGTGAGAGAGGGAAGCTTTGGGCTCTGCACTCTTCTTCCTGAGAAGAGCAGGAAAAGTCTTTGGGGCCTCATCTGGTGCCACAGGAAAGCTGTGCTGCTGCTGCCTTGCCCTGTTTGGTTCTCCTGTGACACTGAGGAGGGACCTTCTCTGTCAAAATTTTGACAAACCAGGGAAGCCAAGTCACAGTGCAAAATACAACACCTGGAATGCTCCCACTGGTGCTGGGAACTGGGATTTGGAATAGCTCTGCATGCTGCCTGCCCTGAGGGCTCTGAGGGAGGAGGATGAGAGAGGGAAACTTTGGTCTCTGCACCCTTCTTCCTGAGAAATTCAGGAGAGCAGGAGAAGTCTTTGGGGTCTCATCTGGTGCCACAGGAAAGCTGTCTGCAGGGATTGGAGCTGATGCGGTGTTTGAGGGAAGAATGTCACTGTCACTGCTGCCTTGCCCTGTCTGATTCTTCTGTGACACTGGGGAGGGACATTCTCTGTCAAAAATCTGACCAACCACAGTGCAAAATGCAACACCTGGAATGCTCCTGCTGGTGCTGGGAACTGGACTGAGCTGTTGCAGGGGTTTGGAACAGCTCTGGATGCTGCATACCCTGAGGGCTCAGCCCAGCACTGTTGTGAGCACATCTCTGTTTCCAGCCATGCCATTCCATGTCCTTTCCCTCCACAGGCTCTTGGTTTGGCAATGCAGAGTCCAAGCGCCGGTACATCGGGGTGATGATGCTGACCCTCACTCCCAGGTACCTCTCCCAAGCTCAGGGGCCCAGCAGACCAGTCCTGTTGGGGCAGGGATGGGATGGGATCTTCCCAACTCACTGAGGATGCCTGGTTTTGGCAGGATTGTCTCCACAGCTTAAGCTTTCACTCTCAGATCTCTTTGTGCTTGTGTTGTGGTTACAATGCCAGCTGGCTCACGGGTAAATTGGAAACTTGCAGGTTTGTACATTGGTAGCAGACTCTGTGAGCAGATGAAAAGTGGTCTCCCTCTCCACAGGAGGGTGGAACCAGGTGGGGGTCAGGCTGTATTCCCAGGGAACAAGGGACAGGACTAGAGGAAACTGCCTCAGGTTGTGCCAGGGGAGGTGGAGGTTGGATATTGGGAAAATCCCTCCTTGAAA